TTATAGAATAGAAAGAAATTCAGGCTACATAGTCCATATGAGTAACGAGTGGGTATGCTTCTCTTGTCATTTAGTTGTCAACATTCATGTCAATTGTCATACAGTCTCTGGCTGGAGAGATTTTATAAGGGACTCAAGAGTCATTTTTGCCCATTATCTTTGCAATTTCGGTTATATGGAATTGATAAATTAAAGGATAAATGACAGAAATATAGTTTTTTTTTAATTTACCACGAATATGGCCAATTAAAAACTATTCACAGAGATATTGTGGTCTTTAGTAAGGATTGGGGCGGGACCACCTGAGACTCAGGCGGGACTAAATTTTTACCCAGTCCTGGGCGCCGGCGCCCCAGTCTCAAGCGGCCCCGCCTCAGACAAATTTTTTTAATTAGTCTGAGGCGCTGGCGCCCGAGACTCAGGCGGGAGCGCCCCGGACTATTTTTTTTTAAATTTTGGACGGGCCCTCCCACCTTATCCCCTCCCCACCACCACAATTCCTCCCTTCTTCTTCCTCCCCCCAACCCCGAACCAGCAGACCCCCTCCTTCTTCTTCCTCCACCCCAACCCCGAACCGCCGCCCGCCGCCCGCAGCACCGTCCCAGACTCAGGCGCCGCCGCCGCACACTCGGGCGCCGCCGCCGCAGAGAGGAGCGCCGCCGCCGCAGAGAGGAGCGCCGCCGCCTTGGACTGAACCGCCGCCGCCCGAGATGTCCTCTGACGAAGAACCAGTCGCCGCCGGCAGAGGCAGAGGTAGAGGTCGGCGAGGTCGTGGTGGAGCCGGCGGCCGTTTGCGCGGTGAGACTCTCGTCGGCAGTTTGATTTTTTTTTAATGTTTTGTGTTTTTTTTAATGTTTTGTTGCTTTGGTTTTGCAGTTCCGAGGCTTATGGATCCTTATTCGATGAGATTACCGCCGGCGACAATTGATCCAAGTCCGGTCGATCCGACACTTCTTTGGGGACACGGCCAACATCGTATCGACTCTGTTTGGACAAACGAGGTAAGTATTTGATAATTATTCATGTAAAGTTAATTAGCTAATTAGATTATTTTAGGTAGTGAACTGAACTGAACTGTTAGGTGAAATTAGTATAATTTTATGTTAGATAAGACAGATTAGAATTTATTAGGTGAAATTAGAATTATTACGAATGAAAATGAATTAATATAAGTTTTGTGCACTATAGGCTGGTGATCGACCGTACCATGTTCGAGGTACGACCATTTTAGTACCTTACCATGAGCTTTATCGGCCATATCTCGAAGCGGCAGGCTTGTTTAGTGTCGTGCCCCTAGTCCCTATGAACCCCGATGCTAGTTTGATTACTGCGCTCGTAGAGCGGTGGCGCCCCGAGACGTCGACCTTCCATCTACCGTGTGGTGAGATGACGATCACGTTAGAGGACGTTGTTACACTGTCCGGTCTGGCGATCGACGGTGATGCCGTCGTAGTTGATATACCGGATGAGGAGTGGTCGGCGATCTGTTTGAGACTGTTGGGACGAGTTCCGGCCGATCTTGTAGGCAGTGTCGCTGTTGTTAGGATTGTTTGGCTGAGGGTTGAATTCAGTCATCTGCCGGAGAATGCATCACAGGAGGTTATAGAGCAGTTTGCACGAGCTTATGCTCTATCTCTGCTTGGAGGTGTACTTTTCTCGGATCGGTCTGGAAGTACGGTGCACCTACAGTACCTACTTCTGATTGAGGATTGGGAGAGAGCTGGACGGTTTGCCTGGGGAGCTGCTGTTTTATCCTACCTGTACCGTGAGATGGGTAGGTCGACTTTGCACATTACGCATACCGGCACTTCTCTTAGCGGTGACCTTGGTGGATGGGTCGCCCTACTGCAGTTTTGGGCGTGGGAGCGATTCCCACATCTGGCACCTCGAGACGAGGAGACGAGGGCACAGGCCACCGAGGATGCATTCCCACGTGGTCTTCGATGGCTTTCGGCCAACAGTCGTCAGTATGGTGACCAGCTATTCCAGTACAAGCTGTGGTTTGACGCGATGGACACCGTGGTGGTTAGTATATAACATTTCATTTTATATAATAGTTTTCATTTGTTTTATTTTTTTAGATTTAGGGATAATAACGATAATTTTTGGATTTAATGTAGTGGCAACCTTACTTTGAGAGAGCACTTCATCTCAGAGGTAGTGTGCTACAGTCGGAGACATTTCGAGCAGTAGTGCCACTTATCTGCTTTTCATCGGTGATGTGGCATCATCCAGACCGCGTGCTCCGGCAGTTTGGCATGAGACAGCATGAGCCTCATCAGCCACATTCTGAGGCTGAGGTTAGGTTTTTTCTTCGCCAGGCTACTCGTGGGCCATCGCGTGGGCAGCAGTTGGTACACGCCTCCAGAGAGTCGATTGCTTTCTAGAACCGTCGACACGAGTTTGTAGCGACGGCTCCATATACTGATGAGGAGTTAGCCTACCACTCGGAGCATATGGAGTGGTATAGAGATGTCACCAGACGATCCGGCACACGGAGAGGAGCTGCAGCAGAGGCGTTGGTTAGTTATTTGATTTATTTGCTTAATTTGTTGTTAATTGTGTGAAATATCTGACATTTTTGTTGGTGTTTTTTAGTACGACACTATCGAGCATGCTGAGGTGAGTTTGCGTGACGGTGTACGGTCTGGAGGGCTGACCCCCGACCAGTGTGAGGACTTGGCCAACTTTATGGCATCCGGGGTTGCTGCTCTAGGGTTTGAGGATCGTAGATACCCTGATCTCACAGTACCTGTACAACTTTATCACATGAAATATTTCTATCAGCGGCCACCTTCTTAAATTGCTCAACTTGACGATCAAACTTCTCCAACCGTTTTTCTCCGGCTAACAAAATAAACCACAACACGTGTTAGATAAATTCATGACAAAATTACATGAAAACAAATAACAAAATTAAATGAAGAAAGCTTACCGACTCGAAATAGTTGATTATACATAATTTTGCTTCGAGTCTTCCTTTGCAAATTGCTTGCATAGTGTCGCATGCACCACCTCCACTCCCAACCTCTTCCGATGTTATTCATGGCTTCATAGAGTCCTGCATGTCTATCTGAGATGATGCATACATCATTTCGATCAGTCAAACCCTGAACCTTCCTCATGAACCATGGCCAACTCTCAGTATTCTCGCTCTCCACTATGGCAAATGCAATTGGAAAAATCTTCCTCCGGCCATCAAATGAGCTCGCCATGAGTAGCACTCCTTTATACTTCCCAGTAAGAAATGTTCCATCCACAACCATGACGCCTGGACAATTCTTGAATCCATCTATACAAGGTCCATAAGCCCAGAATACTCGCTGAAATATTAAATGACCAGGTTGAGTCGAAGGAACTGTTACCCAATCAATCACCGATGTTGGCATTTTTCTCTTGACCACCCGCAAGAATGTTTGCAAAAAATCGTAGGATTCTTCCCAATTTCCATGCAACTTCTCCAATGCTCTTTGTTTCCCATACCAAGCCTTCTTGTAAGTAACTTACATATTAAACTTATCTTTCAACTCGGCTTGAACAGTTAGAACACTCAGATTTGGTTGGGCACGTACCAAATGTTTGACGGCCTCAGATATCATGTCGACATCAAGATGGCGATGATCCGTCGGTTGAGTCGTACTGCTACAAGAATGCACCAACTCAGCTTTTCTCACAGTCCATTCGCCCCCAACATCTCGACATCCAAACCGCACCATCCAAGGACAATTGTCATCCTTGTGCCTCAAACATCTGACCTTCCATATTGAAGGTGACGACTCCACCACGCCATATAGAAAGTTGCGTTGTAGTGCGTGGTGTTTAATCGCCATCTGTGCAGCTTGTTTCGAGTGAAATATCTGCCCCTTGTAGAATTCTCCTTCAAAACTATCAACAATAGGCATTGGAATTACGCCATATGAATCAGCAAGTGCAAATTCTTCGTCATCTTCATTGCCCTGCAAGTAAAAATATGGAGGATAATTAAGTTGCTCTCCTTCCTCCTCCTCCTCCTCCTCCTCTTCCTCCTCTCCGTCATCACCGTGATCATAGTCATGATCGGATGGCACGCTCCATGTATCATCTTCTTCCTCTCCACCCTGATCATCACTGAGCTCAACATGTATCTCAGCACCCAAACAATAAGGATTTTGTGCCATAAAATTCCAAAGCACATCCAAGCTATCATCATCCACAATAGGTAACGCATAATGAAATAAAACATCATTCTGCCATTCTGGAAGACGGTAAGTGAAACCTGTGATCACATCACTATCTTTTACTGCTTCGTCTCTGCGCCGTATTCTCGGAATTAGAGTCTCACAAAGTTTGTGATATGTGACTCTGGATGGAACCGTCAACTGAAAACTACTACCACCAACGAATTTGACACCCAAATTATCCTCTACTTTCTCCGATTTCCACCGAACAACTAGTTCAAATCTTCTAAAATCACTACAAAAAAACAAACTCACTAATTAAAAACTAAACACAATCATAATAGCATTTGAATAATATAATTACAAAAATAAATGTGTCTCTTACCTAGCCATTTTTGCAGCAGCAACCAGAGCTCTCTCCTCTATTTTGGACGATTTTTTTTGTGGTGTGAATCTGAAACGAAATGTCTGTCTGGGTTTTATAGGGTGGGTGGCCAATCCACCTACTCGCCTCAGTCTCGGGCGCCACCGCCGGAGTCTTGATTTCCCACCTACTCGCTTCAGTCTCGGGCGCCGCCGCCTGAGACTCGGGCGCCACCGCCCGAGTCTAATAAAACGGTCCAAAAACCAAGTCTTAAGCGGCGGCGCCTGAGTCTCAGGTGTACCCGCCAATTCTGATGTATAAAACACAATATCTTTGTCAATAGTTATTAATTGGCCATATTCGTGATAAATTTAAAAAAAAAACAATATTTATGTCATTGTCCCTAAATTAAACAGAGTTAGGATTCGGGTCATGATGGAAAATATTATTATAAATATATTTTTTCCTGAAATTAGATTTTTGTTTATCCATCTACGGTCCAGAGTTGCTTAGAACACCTCTGTCTTTGTCTTTAAATTTGTGTGGTCTTAATAATAATAGTTCTTCATCACTTGCCAGAAACAGAGAAGACAAAAAAAAAAAAAAGAAAACGACGATCAACAATGGCGGTAGCGCAGCTTCGATTTGGTCCGGTGGCGCTGCTGGTGGTGCTGTCGGCATTGGCAGTAACACCGTTGTATAAGTATAACTATCCTGTCGCCGGCGCCATAGAGCCAGCTGCTAAACAGATTAGCACCGCTCCTCAGTGTTCCGGTTCCCAAAAGCTTGCTGTGTTCGAAGATGGAGACTGCAGCCCGAAACCTATCACCGTGCCGGTAACGGCCAGTAGTTCAACTAATCCACCTCCGAGGCCCCTCTACGTCGTCGCCCCGACCCGGCCCGGAAATTACCCGATCTTCCTCTTCGCCCACGGCACCTTCATCAGCAACAACCTCTACTCCGGCCTCCTTTCCCACATTTCTTCACACGGCTACATAGTCGTCGCCCCGCAGGTATACATACCCACGCACTCTTTACAATTCACTTATAGGTGTGGTAATTGTCCCAATTTTTTGTGCTACAACTTGTTCCAAACCAAGTAAGAGAGTGTCAAAAGTTATGCAATTGGTATACTGAATCGCACAAGTTACACAACAGTGATGGTTATTTGCACAAATGATAATTTTTATTCACGCAATAATAGGTTATATTCATGCATGTTATTACACGTCTGGTACCATTTTTAAGAAAATTAAATAATTTTGAAATATATCAAAACAGATGTTATTGTGTAGTTGTAACCCACTTTTACAAGAACATTTGAAAATCCAAGTTTAACTCCATAATTTCAATACAAATTGTTAGAGGTCGAAAAAAAAACTCTTTTTTTTATGGGAAACCTGTAAAAAAATCTATTTTTATTATTAGCTGTTTATGTCTCTATAGCAAGAGAAAACCCATTTAACCCATTTATGGTACTAAACTAAATACTACAAATATCAAAACATCATCATAATTCAAAACACAAAAGTTAGAGCCACAAACAAGTTTCCATTTCCAAATCCCTACCACAAAGTGTCATTTGGTTCTGTTGTCAATGTACACACGCAGCTGTTCGATTCAATTTTGTCTCTGCCGTGCGAGCTGGAGGAGATCGAGTACCTGGAGCAAGTCACAAACTGGATGCCCTCCGCCACCGCCCTACCTTCCCACCTCCCGCCCGGCGTCCTCCCCGACTTCGACAAGCTCGCCGTCGGAGGCCACAGCCGCGGCGGCAAATCCGCCTTCGCCCTCGCCCTCGGACTCTGCGCCCGACCCTTGAAACTGACCATATCAGCCGTGGTCGGGGTCGACCCAGTGGCCGGGGTCAGCAAAAATTCCCGCACCGACCCGGAAATCCTCACCTACGAACCCGAATCCCTCAACCTCTCGGTCCCCGTAACGGTCATCGGGAGCGGGCTGGGTAACCAGTCCGAGGTGATCGATCTGCCCGCCTGCGCGCCCAACTGGGTGAACCACGCCGAGTTTTACAGCGAGTGCATGGCTCCCAAAACCCACCTGGTCGCAGACGATTACGGCCACATGGACGTGGTGGATGACGTCAGCTGGTTCGAACGTGACTTTAAAGGGATGTTTGATTTTGCGCTGACTAAGCTGATGTGTAAAGGGGCGAGCGGATTGTTTAGCTCGCGGGAGAAGATGAGGAAGGGCGTTGGTGGGATCGTGGTGGCGTTTTTGGATGCTTACTTGGGAGGTGGGAACGATGATTATCTGGCCATTTTGGAGTGTCCGCTGGAGGTGGATTCGCCGGTCAGGCTTACGGTTGGGTATGTGCTGGAGAAAGGGACGGCCGCCGCCGGAGATATTTGATGTGTAAGGATTATCAACGGTGTGTATTATCATTGATACAAGTATATGTGACAAAGACTTGTTCCTGATATGATGGCGGTAAAGCTAAAGGTTGACTTAAAGAACGTGGGTCGAGAAGGTTTGTGATAATTAGTTATTACTAGATAATTGGCCCGCGTTTTGCGATGGGTACGCATGATCATCAATTAAATTATATTAAATCGAATGAGATTACATATAACCATTTGATTAGAGTGGATTAGACATTTTTATAAATTGAGTTGGTTCCAATTACTAAATTGAGACCTTTTTTAATTGTATCATGGATTCTCTTAAAAGCAAAGCAAAAAATTAATCATGTCAAACCGTATGATCATATCGTTACAATTATGTGTTTGGTTGAGCTAAGGATAGAGATTTTTTTTTTAAGGAGTTAACTTCCATGTGCTTCACTTGATACTAACTCAAAAAAGCTGTATATATGTTCTTACACATAAAAGGAAAATCAATAGAAATCCTTATCATGAAACAAAACAGTGCCTTGTCGTAAATTATAATATAATGTAATTCTCAAGCTTTAATCTATAAGTGTTGATCACCATTTATATACTAATGACTTTTTGCATGCTGATGCTAATATGCTAGTACTATAGAATGACTTCCTTAGCTAAAAAAGCATTGTGAACTCTACTTTATATGACCATCCCTCTTCTCATGGGATAAATTTTTGCAAGCTCTCCAGGTCATTGTTGAAACATGAAACAAAGCTTGTTCAACAATTTGTTATATGAAGTTAGATTTAATAACTTATAACAAACCCAAAAGAAGGAAGTCAAGTTCAACATAAAGCAGGGCAGCGAACAGAGTATAAAATGAAAACAACATTAAGAAATACCAATTTCAAGTAGCATCATGGAGCATCTAAGTAACGGAGAAGAAGTCTTGGAGAATGGGTGGTGGGTAATAATGTCTTAGTGGTACTCCCTATCTTAGTTTCATTCTAACTCTGTAAATCATGTTGCCACCACCACCGTTATGAGTCGCCATTTGGTACCTTTTGGTTCTCAATGTCAACAGGTGGCACTCATGCATAGGCCTGTCAGTTCGGGTCGGGTAACCAAACTCGAAAACCACGAAACCCGAAAACCCGCTACTCCCTCATTGAAAACCCGAAACCGAACCCGAAAATGGCACTATCGGTTTTCGGTTACCTAAAACCGGGAAAAAGTCACTAATGGTTTTCGGTTGATTATATGAAACCCGAAAACCCGAAAATTTTGCTATTGTATTGCCAGTGGAGCTTCGCTGACCAGGTGGCAGGTAGCAACTTTATTTCTCCGTTTTCATACGAACACACAGAGATCTTTCAGCCATCAGAGACGAAATCTTGACCTCGATATGTGTCTTCTCCGTCCCCTTCCTTCCTCCTCTCCTTTAGCACAATCGAATCCCTCATCGACGGTGCCAGCTTCAACCCAACCACCACCGTCTCCCTCTAGGCCACCAACCTCAAATCGGACGCCTCTATCTTCTCGATTGTTGTCTGGTTCCCTGTTCAGGCCGCCGACGGGGTGGTCGCCGCCAAAGCAATTGGAAAATTCCTCCCTGCCAAATTCAGGCATGCACTTAGAGGTCATCGCTGAAAGTGGATCTCTTCACCTGGGCAATCGCCGAGGCCCGAGGGAGCTGTGAGCTTTGTGCTCTGTTTGGCTCTGCTGTCGATTATGGTCAAAGGATTGAAAAATTACATGCTCAAAGTTTGGTTGTTGGCTCTAGTAACTGTGAGGTTTAGCATCGTTGTGTTGCTGTTGTTGTAGGCGATGAATGGAAGGATGATTTCGCAGGCTAAAGGTTGCATAACCCAGATGCGCCAACGAGGAAAAGCTTCAATCTCGAATGAAGGGACAATTTCACCGGGTAACAGGGGCGGAGCTACATAGGGACTAAGGGGGCCCCGGCCCCCCCGAGAATTTCGAAAATCACGAAAGAATGTATGAGTATTCTGAAAATTACGAAGTAAATACAGGTTTTATAATAATGGCCGCGGGTTAAAAGGTATCTAAAGTAGCTTATTACCCTAGTGGAGTTTGTAGTGGTTTTGTATCAAACAGGTCAGGGGTTCAATCCTAACCTATGTTAGTTTTTCGGTTGGAGTTTTTTACAATTTTATAGCTTTAATGGAAAAAATTTCCCCGATAAGTTTAACAAGAATGTCAATCTAATTATTTGACAAAACATCTCGTACATTTTGATAATTCAAACAATTAATTTATTTATATAGTTATATAACGATTTTGATTTTTTTCTTATTACGATAATATATGAAACATTTCCGGCCCCCCCCAAACCCAAAATCCTAGCTCCGCCTCTGCCGGGTAAGGGATGGCAAGGCAGAGACCAAGATTTCAGATCTGGCTTTCTTTGTCTTCATAATCGGAGGGCTCTAGGTCGGCTTTCAACTTGAAAAAGGGTCTCCATCTTCAGGGAGATGATTTGCAGAAGATGATTTGTCTTCCTATATATATCGAGCTCAACCCACCATTCAAAGCTCTTCGCTGCTCTGTTGTTTCATCTCCACTCTCCAACCCCAAAACCCTTCCTCTCAAACCTCCATCTCTGTTCCATTTATTTTATCAAACCAATCAACCAAATGGCCCAAATAAGCTTCTCGAAGGCAGCTACCCTCTCCATGATCCTGTTGATCGCCTCTCTGGCCCAGGAAATGGCCCTCGCTAGTACAGATTCGGGTTTTCGGGGAAAGCTTTGATCTAAAAAGGAGCGATGATTTCACCGGTGATGGAATGGCAGAGTAGGTTGCGGGAGGCGAAACCACCACTTCGGGTTATTTCGGGTCCTTATCGGGTTTCAGGTTACACAGAAACTGAACCCGACACATCACACATTTTGGGTTGAAACCAAAAAACCGAAACCGATTTGACACCCCTACTTATGCATGCATATATCTTCTGTGGTATATAAAAGCATTTGAAAGGTAAAAGAAACATATGAAAGCCAGCAACACCTATATATGTAGTTGGCTACTTATCTAGAGTTCATAAATGAATTCAATAAGATATGAAATCATAGAAGAGCCAAGTCCTCCACGCTCGTCAACCGTTTACGCTTCTAATCACCACCCACCACATCTTTCTTTTAACCATCCCTGTCTTTCATATGATTCTTCTATGAAAATGGTGCATCACTGTATATACATTGAGTGGGTGAGAGGTTACTTGAGGAGAAGTTAAAGAAGATGCGGACAGTTCGATTCAATCGTCACTTGCCCGCAACCTTCTCCTTCGATGTTAAATCTTACCAGTAGGGATATATAGCTTTATATTCATAATTGGGAACCTTGACTCTCGACACCCATAAAACCAAGCTTTGTTCGTAATCAAGATCATCTCCATCCTAGCTAACTGCCGTTGATGGGAAAGAAGAGAGAAAGAAGGAAACTTGGCTAATCTCCAGGCAGGGGAAGAGCGTCGGAAAATTGGAAAGAGGTCGCAGGGAACAAACGATAGACCGAGTTCTTACCCAGCCGTCAAATCTATCTGTTACGTGGTCCATCGATTAGGGTTCCTGTTTTTGGACGGGAAGAAGTGGGAAGTGGGAAGGGTCTATGCTTGCCCAATCGCTAAATGAATAATCAAAGGGAATAACGGAGGGGGAAACGGAAAAGGAAAAGCTAAAGAAGGAAAACGGGAACCGAACGGAAAAAGAGGTGTACAGACATACGGTAGACCTGACCGTATCCCACTGGATCCCTAATGCAAAACAGGCGCTATTTATATATTAATTAGTGGCTCCCAAACTTCTTCAACCACATTCTATTATTCTATAATCTATGTGTTCATCTATTTGTTCGTCGGGTTGACATCTATTACCCACTAGATTTCGTAAGTATTCATCTATTGTTCATTGTTTTTCCTGTTCCAACAATTTATCCATTAGGTTTTCTTCTATTATCTTTTGCCCAAATTCTTGACCCACCAATTCGCAACCCATCTCGAAATATTTTCGTTCAAATAGTAAGTTGTCCTCTTTCATCGTTTCAAACGACTGCTATCAGAAATCCATACCATATCTATTATGCACAATCCTCGCATTCGCCCAATAATGCACAACCCTTCTCCAAACACTCTCGGTGGAATCCTAAGTTGTACCCATCCACCGTGTCCCAATACCGTTACCGAAAATCCATACCAAATCTGCTCTGTGCTGCTGAATTTTGTATCGGGACCGAGTTTCATATTCTTTCGTGTTTTCTTATCTCTCTTTTTCTGTTCGTTAAGCATTACAATTGAACTCAAAATCATGGGTATTCAACATAATTCGACAAGGTCAAAACGACTTTGAACCTGATTTTAGTATATTTTTTAATATTTATATTTTTTCCTTTCATTGAGAATGTCAATTGAACCCAAACCATGGTATTGACGAGTTTTGTATCGAGGGCGAGTTTTATCTGCTTTTGTAGTTGGTAGGTTGGTTTGAATGTGAATTTTTTTAAACTTGATTTGACCAGGTCAAAGTGAGCTAAACACGGTGTTGACGACTTTTTGATCGAGAGCGAGTTTTGTTCGCTTTAATATTTTATTTATTTCTCGTTTTCCATTTGGTTGAGCATTGAACTCGAACCCAATGTTGACGAGTATTGTGTAGAGAGAGAGTTTTATATGATTTTAGAACTGACATGTTGAGTAGATTGTGAATTGTTAAAAACTCGGTTCAAACCAGTCAATGAGAATTGAACTCGGTGTGTAGAGTTTTTGGTAGGGAGCGAGTTTATCCGTTGTAGTGCTCTTTTATTTATCCTTTTCCTTTTTGCTGAGAACCCAAAACTATGGGTATTCAACCCAATTCAACCTGATCAAAACAACTAGAACCAGGTGCTTACACTTTTTCGCGCGGGAGTGAGTTTGATTCGTTTTTGGAATTGGTGGGTCGGATCGGTTGTGAATTTGTTACAAACTCGGTTCAACCTGATCAAAGAGAGTTGAACATTATGTTGCCGAATTTTAGGTCGTGAGTGAGTTTTATCCGTTTTACTGTTCGTTAATTTCTCTTTTTCTTTTTGGTTGAGAAAGAAACTCATGGGTGCAACCTAATTCGACCTAGCCAAAGTGAGTTGAACCTGCTCAAACCTGCAATTAGTCCCGAAAATCCATAAAAATGAGAATCAAGATGAGCTTAAGAAAATAAAGCAAAAAGAATACAAACTAGAGAAAAGATTAAACATAGAAATCATTTGCTCGATGACCTTCTCCCTTATTAAAGTTCATTGTTATGTCGACTATATGAAGTTGTAGATGAAAAGTTCTTTACTTTTGAATGAAAATTCAAACTATCAATCTCTTAAATATCATGTTCTCACTCACATGCAAAGCAATAACGAGCAAGCTTATGCTAATAATGGAATAAAGGAGTGATTTCTCTTGGAAAAATAAATATACCCGTTGCGATGACAAGGGATAGACTACTTATAATGCAATAAAAACTCAAAGCTTTAAAATGTTTCAATTAGCATCGATTAAGATCGTTAAAATCCTCTGAAAATCTAGTTTTTAATGACTTTAATTGTGAATAGTTTATCATTCTAAAGTCCATGGATTTCTTAGTGAAATCTGAATCAAAACAGATAAATAAGATCATAAAATTTTAGAATTTAAATTTAGATCTTAACTACCTTGCTGATGATAAAATTCACCATCTCATCAGTCAACTTTTTTCCATCTTATTGGTTCATTTTTTCCACATGTCTTTAACATGAATTAGTTGGCACAACGCAACATGAAATGGTGTCTCTCCTAGGGCCCGATTCTTATCACATCATTAGCCATCTCTAGCTAGTGTTAGTGACCTCCAGTGAGTGTCACTCCCTTCTAGATATTTTGAACTATACCTTAGTTAGTGTGAAGTAAGTGAACTATCACAATGTTGGGTTGAGCTAGCATTTAGTCTTCTCGAGCTAAACTTGACTACTCCAAGTTCTCTTCAGCTAACACAAGTACCCTCATGGACCTCTTTAGTTACCAATTAAGTTACCACTAGTTTCTCTAAGTTAGTTTAAGCGTTTTTTTTTGTTTTTGTTTTTTTTTTGAATGGTAGTTTAAGCGTGTTTGAGTTATCTACTTAGCTATCTCTGCCAAGTCTAACGAGTTGTCATGATCTTATATGCTTTTATTAATTAATTTTTAATATATAAATGTCTAACATGGGAGATATAAAAAGCATCACATGGAAGATACTATTTATTAGTGGTTCCCAAACTTCTCCAAATGCAAGTGGGGAAATTTCAAATCTTTCTGATAACGCCCAAATCTCGAACTAAGGCGTTTGATTGGCCTCAACTCCCACGAAGAAAGAGTTGAAAATTCTGGACAACGAAAACAGGGAAAGAAAGGGGTGGTTCGAACGTGCAACTTCTCGCTGAGTTGGGGAAGAGGCTCTATCGAATTTGTGATAGCAACTCGTCCACAATTGAGGTGTATACTCAATTGACACTGAGCTAGCTTGGTTGATGGAATTCAATCCATGCAAACAAGGAAGGATTCATGAGGCAAGGCTCTATGATTGACAAAACTTGAATCAATTACAATGCAAAACGAGGCATAAATAGATCCTAGCTAAGGATATTCAACAAGGAAAGAAATTCTAAACCTAATACAACTCGAATAGAAACCCAAACAAACAAGAAAAGAAACCAAAGCACAAAACAGTCTAGGAATCCTAAGTTATACCCATCCACCGTGTCCCAATATCGCTACCGAAAATCCATACCAAATCTGCTTTGTGTTGCTGAATTTTGTATCAGGACCGAGTTTCATATTCTTTAGTGTTTTCTTATCTCTCTTTTTCTATTGGTTAAGCATTACAATTGAACTCAAAATCATGGTTATTCAACATAAGACT